ATGTTGGGATTTATTATTGAGTGATGTATAAACCTTACAGCTGTTGAACACTGTCCTCATTGCTATTGCATAAAAATCCTCACATCTACAATAGCTTCTGTCAGCCGCTCCCTTATTAACAAAGGATCAGCACAGCAGGGTCTTCATATTTGATCTAGCAAATATGTTGGATCTTTAGTTTCAAATGCCAAACTTGATGGAACAAACAAACTGTTCTTCTGGTGTACCATAAATGGCTTCTTCACATATAAAGTGATATGCACAAGATTTACTACAAGGTTGGGTGCATGGCCAAACATTTTTGTCACACTAACCACTTCTGATATATGTGTACAATCTGCACCTGCGTCCTGTAATTCTTCATTTTTTAGTTGTGCAAATGTACAGCAGTTGTGAGTGCTCCCCGGACGGCACACTTGGACTGCACTTCGTTTTGCTCTATGCAGTAAAAAAGCATTCATGCGTGCCACAGACCATAGGGAATAATGGGTTTCAGAGCACAGCAGTGCCAGAGTAGCAATGCATCTGAAAGAGGCTTTATGGTGTTTTACTGTTTCACTGTTTCAAGATCGCCCCCGTGACCCTTCAAAGACCAGCAGATCTCTGCCTCAGTGGGAACTTGGGCAAATGTGGTGGGGACAAAGAAAGTTCTCAAGGCAGTGCCGAGGTTTTCCTTGAACTCTGTCACTGCTGTGCCATAACAAACACACACAGACACTGCATGTACAGTTTCACAGTTTCCCTGAAGAACCACAATTATCTAAAATATATCTAAATAGGTATGGAGCAAACTTGAGTCAGGTGCTCCAGATCTTTTGACTCTGTCAACAAGTTATCCAAAACTTAGCTGATGAGCTTTATCGGGTATGTAGGAATATGGTGGGATCAGACATTACTGTAGCCAGCAGCAACACCATAGCTGTGTCCCAATTCCTAGACCACATCCTTCAGAGGGCGCATTTGAAGGCCGATTACATTACAGCCAGGCGACGAAGGCTGCTCCAAATACGTCCGACAGGGAAGGATGGGTCGGGTATATCCTTCGTGGCCCAACCTATCCCAGAATTCATAGCACGGCCAGCCACTTCCAGTTTCCAACAATGGCAGCAGCTACTTAGTTTTAATATTACTATTTCTGGGTCACAAAATAAACTTTTAACATATTTTCAGGCGAGGATGTAGCTGTGTAAACTTCAAATATCTGCTCGATTAATCAAGACATCACATATTTGCAAAAGTGCTCTGACGTTTTCGGAGACGTCTGTTACCCACCAGCTCGATAGCTCACTAGAGCCGGCGAGAACACCGGACTCCCAGCACATCGTTTTCAGACCCCAGGTCTTTCGCTACTCAGGTTTAACATGTAACATATAAGTCAGCTAGATAACTAAAAAATGTTAATGTTTGACTTTTAATTGTTTTATTTGTTCCTGAGTAAATCGGTTTGGCTGAGCTGGTGATGCAAATCTGAAGGCTAGACCGTCCCATTTCAAAGCCTTCCGGCCTTCTCGGTCTTCAAAGGACCCGGCCCACGTAGACTACAAAGGCCGGGTCCTTCGAAGGATGTGGCCTAGGAATTGGGACACAGCTCATGACTGTAGACAGTAGACTAGGTTTCATGTTTCTAAGCATAGCTGGTGCGTCAAAGTGCATAACATCTTATTCCAAAGTAATTAAAGTGACTTTCCTAATAAAAAAGTAAGAACAGAACTCGTGTTCGTGCTCGTGTTGGATCCCACCGAGCTGACTGCATTTCCTTCGACTGGAAAAGTTGTACAGTTTGTGTATTGCATTAACAGCTGTTTCAACATGGAGTTGGTCCATGTCAATCAAATGTAATTGATGCACACCTACACAGCCACGCGAAGCAGAGCAGCTGCGTTTTCTTTTTCATTTTTACTTGAAATTTGTTTGGAGAGTTGGAAATCTTCTTCTGTAGGCTGCTCCCTTCCCCACTGTGAGCACAGTAGATCATCATCTGCCTCCTTCTCACCCTGTCCCTACTATTCTCCGCTGCCACACCAACCACAAATTACGATCTAAAGAAACCGCTTAGAAACAAAGCCATGCCATGTATCAGTGTGGAAAGGCTTAAAAAGCCATTTCTGAGGCGTTTTGAAATGACTGAAATTGATAAAGTTTCAACTGAAATTATTTAAAAGAAAGATTTGAGATCAGACATGAATAATGCAAAAGCACTGACATTCAGCCAATATGATAAAAGGATTCTTCCTTCAGGCTAGCACGTTGACTCATAGTTGACCTTATTTTGACCTTTGCTTTAATGTCTTTAAGAAAAAAGAGAGTTTGTGATCTTGTGATATAAAGAATGTGTCTGGCTTGTTCTTCATGGCAAACTTTTCAGAACAAGAAAGACAGGCATCAAATACACAAATCACTTCCACTCACATTCTTTTTGTCTCTTTAAAGAGAAATGTACTCATTACTGCTCTCCAATCCGTGAATCAGCATACGACACAATTGCCTCTCTGCCCTTTCTGATCCTTCCTTTTATCGATATTGACATAGGCCTAATTCATTCGGTGCTATGTGGCGACTGAAAGGTAAAAAAAAAAAGTCACTTTACTTGTTTGCAGGTGGGTTTTAGTTTCACTGAGTTTTCTCTTTTTCTTGTCTCTCACTGTTTCTCAGTTGGCAGAAATGCATGTGAATATGGTAAAACTCAGGCTCGGCGTGGCCGCCTGTGGTGAAAAAGGCCAAAAGAAAGCAGCGTGTGACACAAACACCTCCTCCCGTGCACTTTGACAGCGGATGGTGGCAACTTATCTCCCACCTACATCTACAATTCTTTTTCAAAGCCTTTTCCATTCTTCTCACTTCTGAGCTCTCCACAGTGAAAGCTCCAACTTTTCAATCTCTGCCAGTTTGATTCCATTCGCCTCGGTTATTTTCCTGTTTTTTTTCTGTCCCACCGAAGCTCGTATTAGACTTCAATGCCCCCTGGATGTTCCTCCCAGTACGTGTATCTAGTCCCTTTGCTGTTAGCTCCACACTGAGTGTGTTGGCAGGACAGAAGAGGCAGTCAGCAGGGGACGGCCTGGGCTGCCAGAGTGTGCCGCCACCCCACTGAGCCACTGGCTCCCACCATCGGGTTTTCTGCTATGTTGATATAACGTTCAGAGAGGACAATGAGAAGGAAGAACGGTAAGCCAGGAGCATCTCCCCCGCCCCCGTGTGGATCGAGTCACAGTGGGGTCAAAGAGTCCCTCACCATATGGAGGTTATGGATTGTTTTATGTTATCTGTCACAAAAACAGACATTCATGAGCGATGATATAAGACTCCCCCCGTTGCTTCCAAACAGTCACAGATACAATACATATGCATAATATTAAAAAGAGACCTTTATGGTCATTTTCAACCTCCTCCTTTTACTTCTTTGACTTTTGCACCATCATCAAATCAAAATAATGCTTGTTTATCTGATACTGGGCTGTAGTGAAGTGAAAGCCATTTTATCTCTTCTCCTTTTAAGGTGTATATGATATCCTCATGTTGGTATTGTTCCTGAATGATCATAATAACATTGGTCTAGGATCAGCATTGCTACTGACCAATCACATTGCTGCTTTGGAGTGTTGAGGGGAAAAAATGAGGAATTTGGTAAGCATTTAAATTCTTTGTTAATTCATACAGTATAATAAATATGTTATCAAGTTAGGTTTGCTGTTAGCCACATTTAGATCACCCAGGATGGTTTGCTAGTGAAGCTTTAGCTAACTTCTTGGCTAATGCTAACTGAAAGCTCGGATAATGTGATTGGTCCAGTGCAATGTTGATCCTAAACCAGCTTTGTTATGACGTAGGAAAGGAGTGTCAAACATAAGGCCCGGGGCCTAGAATCAGCTTGGCAGAGACTCCAGTCCGGCCTCACAGGATGACCTTAGAAAATGTGAAGACAGGCTTAACTTTGTGGACCGTTAAATGTATTTTAATAACCTTTACAGCGTTTTCTGCTGATAAAGAACTCTCCAACAGCTTTTCATACTACAACAGTAGTTCCTGATTTTTCACTATTGACTATAAAAAGTCTTTTTCTTTCTCTTTTTTTTTTACAGTGGGTCTACAAAAAATGAAATTTTTATGAGTTCAGTTTTGTAATTACAAGACATAATTGGGTCAACTTGTTTGTCTGTATGTTAACAGTCTAGTGTTCACAGTTTTCAAGATATCCTTTTCGATGTTTCTTTGATGGTCGACATCAATAACAGCTCAAGCTCATTTAATTTTGGTGAAAATCAAGTCAAGGTCAAAATCAATTTTTGCTACCAGTTTGTTATGGATCAATAGACCTTCGGGCACAGGAGTTTGGCTAAGCATTTGAGCTTGACCTTCACAAGGGTTCACCACACAAGGTAAAAGTTGACCCTAAAAATATTCTCAACAAATCATATCACGTAATAAATTATATGAATAGAGAGAGCTGTACAATACATGTTTTGTTTTTTCAATATGACACCCTACATCATCACAATAATGCCATAACAGACTGAGGTCCTCATGTTGTAATAAAAGCATCAGCAAAAGCAGGTTTCAGTACAGCCCCTTGTCCCTTGAGGCAAGTTGGCCTCAAGTGGTCTGGTTTATAACAGTTTAAGCCCAAAAAGTTGTGCTGACACATTTCTTTTGTTTACTGTAGCAGCATTTATATATGACTGAGGTTTACTGTTGGAACTGCACTTATTTTTCTTATGTTAAACTGGCTTAAATGTGTAAACATTGCACAAACAAAAAGGGGTGTTTGACCGGTCTGGCCCACTCATGATCAAAGTGACAGGAACAAAGGATCAACACAAACACACGGATATCAGATCGTGTTTTCTTTTAAAGCCAACCTTTCTTCTATTTGGCTCTCATTCTGCACTCATGACATCACAAAGAGCAAAAGGAGGGGAAAAAAAAGTCTCAAAGAAAGAGTATAGAGAAGTTTAAAAAGAATAGCTCGTGCAGGTGGGGTGGGTGTCATGCCATTTGTGTACCTGTGCAGATGAAGAACTTGGACTCTCCGACACTTAACTCCACTTTGTTCAAGGATATAGACACTTGTAGGGCGGCTGTAAAAGAACAAAGAGAGACAGAGGAAGAGCGGATAATGGATTAGTTATTGCAAGTGAGACTACAAAACACAAAGAAGTTTCACATTTGTTGACTGGATAGACATAATAATAGAAAATTGCTCCCAAAACGCATCACCTTCCACAGCAAAGTGGGGCGTTTCTGTCCCTTTTTAAGAGATTCTGTTGCATTATCTGTTTGCATCACTTGTGTGTCGGGCTTATGTGCATGAACCCTTGCCGTATAAAAAAAGCGCTCCTCAGACGTGTTTTTGGCTCGTTCTTGTATAAGAGGCATTGTCAGAGCTGAAAAGAACAGTTTATATATTCTTATTCAACTTTAACTGCTTTTCAAAGTTTCCGTTCAACAGAACAACAGACGCCTATTCCGCTGCACAAAGCTCAGAGACAGATTGGCTTGATACCTTCTATTAGGCACATGGCTGTTTGTGACAAGCTTGTCAGTCAGCGTCACAATGAACGGGATTCCTTTCAGCCTGAGGTAATGCTATTTGCTGTTATCTCTCTCGACAATGGTATATGAATTGAACAACAGTGCAATGCGGGATTTTAAAAGCTCAAAACGAGCAGAAATCGGCAAATAACTCAATAATGCCCGTGTTTTCTTTGCTCGCAAAACTTGTCATGCAAGGCTTTCTACACCCTCGCTAAGATACACCAGACTATTGTGCAGGAGGTGGGGGGTGGGGGGGCAATATGCTGCCTGGAAGACAGCAAAAACTTGCAGCGGGTGGTAGTGACAGAGGCAAAGTACAATCAGAGGCCATTTGTCTGTACTGGTCCATTGTGAGTGGCACTATAATACCACACAATAGGCGATCCAGTGAAAGTTTTTAAAGGCTGCAGTGAAAGGCAGGTATCTGAAGTATGTGAGACTGTGTCAAAGGAGGAAAACGGGAGGAGGAAAAATAATAAAATAAAGCAGGATCAGAGATGCAGCTCAACAGCACCGTGGAGCTGAGTGTGTCTACATGTCTAATGTGATGAGCGGTGATTGGCAACTCAGTGGGGAGAGGGTCAATTTTAGGCCAGGGCCTCTCGACGCAGCAGTAGTCACACAGCATCGTGAGACATTTTGATGAGTCTGTCATGTCTCAGCTCCTCGTTCTCAGCCCTTGGAGCTGCGAGTCTAGTTAGAATCAAAATCAAACCCCACACAGATACAAACACACACAGGCGCACACAGGCACGCAGATGAAGGCTGAATAATACTCTAATGGATGTTAATTCTCTCTATAACACTGGGAACTTAACAGGGCGGCTGTCAATAATTGAGGAAATGATGCAATGATTAGCTGCAGCTTCTCCGGGGAGAATGACTCTAACCAACAGCAGCGCCACACTCAAGCTGCTATCACTGGGAGAACTCTGTCATAACTGGGTGCCACCTATAGATGGCAGTAAAGAGGCACTGCCACATTTCCATGGTGGGGGTAGAGGAGCAGCTTTCAATACATTTGATCGTTTCTGCAGTGCAGCTCGATTGTTACAATGTCAAATAGTCAATGGTGGAAGTTCAGAGACTTAGTGGGCTCATTCGTATTGGGTGGATTATTTTCTTTTGGTGTTGCACAATGAAAATTCAATAGAATTCAATAGAAAGTCCATTCCACTTGCAGAGTTTGAAGTAGAAACAATTACTGTACCGCTTTCACACAGAGCTATAATTTGTATAAAGTACAGTTTTTGTGCTTAGTGTCAACTAACTTTGGACTCCACTGCTAAATAACAGAAGCTAAAGTTTGAGCATGTTTGGTTGCTTCACCAGCATCTAGAATTCAATTTTTTAAAAATGTTTTTCAGCTCTGAGCAGTTCATTCGCCCACTTTGTGCCATCATTGTGGCAGAGGGAACATCCATCAACAAGACACTCAAAATAAAAGCCACGTGACACCTGTGAGTATGTTTAAATTGGCCACTAATTGCCTGATGTGAAAGCACAGTACACTTCAAACATACGTGTAATTAGTCTGGAGTATAGCTACACACACCGCTACTATCTACACACACATATACACACACACGCATTGTTTCAAATGGATGCAAATGCTATTCTTAGGTTGATCAATCATGTCTATTTAACCCTGTGCCCTTTCGCACCACCTGCCTTTGACTTAAGGCAGATTCCAATCAGTGCTTCTAGCACTTTAACGGTTTTCAATTATTAATTGATTCTGGTCTGTTCTTGCTGTATGTGATTGATCACATAATAAATCGCTCATAAAACTCAGTGGGCAAAAGAAAAATGGCCTGATTTTTTTTCTCCCCATGCTGCTGGAATCGTAGGTGTGAATCATATAATTAAGTCGAACCTGGGGAACATTAGTGTTCAGTTGGCATTTTTGAGCTAGAATGCACAACATAGAGTCCACACGGTGGCTATACATTGACATTTTAATGAGAATGCTGACGGGATTTGGATTATAGCATGGGATGGGAGAATTTGTTTACTCAACACTGTCTCGCCTGGAGGGGACACAAAGAGACATGCTATTTATATCAATTGTCAGGCATGGAATGTTTTTCGGCTGCATTCAACCGGCTTATTACAGAACTTGGGTCAATACGTTATGTGCCTGGTAGCAATTATCAGCTCCAATTATTAGCTCCTTTGAGAAGCTTTGGAGACAAGCAAAATAAGACAACAAACAAAACCATTGATTGCCATTTGTAATGTGTCAGAGGTGGTCAATACTATACATGACTCGCCAGCTTTCCTAACAACAATGAGACATGATTAATTCCAGCATCAGTTATGGTATGTGAACTCGGCAACAAAGGTGAGAAAAAGCACAATGTTTGCCTCAGAGTTGCTAGATTAATACACACAACTGGCTGGTCATAGTACTCAGGAGGGCTACTGAAAAAATACAACCTAATTTTAAAAAATGAATCATAACTTTCTTGTGAAAAATTAAGAACAAATTATCCTCTCCCACTTATAGTGTTTGCCAATACCCTCCTAAAGATATTTAGAGGGTATTGGCAAGCAGAGGATAATGGTCCCAGGTACCCATGTATGTGACACTAATGCAACAATTTCTTCTTGGACACAGCTGCACCCATGCTTGGCACTGAAATGTAGCATGAAGCTCAGGAAAGTTGAGTACAGTAGAAAATGCTCCACTTTGGGCACGTGGCTGTCACAGCCTGGATTCATGTGTGACTGTAACGGCTCATTATCTCACAGAGAGATACCTGTAATAGCACAGTAGCCCACATGTTTGCATTCAGTTTGTGGGAGTACAAAGACTTGATTTTGTCAGATGCATTCAGCACTTAGGATAGGTTTTGCAGACTGAAAATCTTTCTTATTTGGTAAATCAGATACCATCCATCTATCTATTTACTTCCACTTATTTAGTTCAGAGTCACAGGGTAGTTGGAGGCTATCCCAGCTGTCCAGGTGCTGTCCACCCTGGATAGTTCAAAAGTCTATCAGAAGGTTATCACAGAGAGAAAACTATTCACGCTCACTTTCACACCTTTGGCAAATTTAGAATTGCCAGTCAACCTAACTCAAGTAAGTCTTTGGACTACAGGAGCATGCTAAAATAACCAGAGAGAACTTCAGAAAAGACAACTTTTAAGCCTTTGAGCATAAAACAAAAAAACAAGAACCAAAAAAAAAAAAAACAGTATATGCTTTGCAGTTGTTTCTTGTTTTTAATTATTTTTTTTAAAAAATCCCACAGCTCTAGCTCTTTAGGAGTACAGGGTGAAGGTTAAATGGTTTTCAGTACAGGTGCTTGCCGAGGGTCAGTCAGCGAGGTAGGTCTGCTAGTGCCATGTGAATTATAGAAAACTGTCATCATATAGCAGAGCAAAGACACTGAAAATGGATGAAAATTCAGCCAAGAGAGCATCTGAGAGAGCGAGGGGTCATACAGAACACGAGTGAGTGTTCTTCAGCCGTTAAGTGGTTGACTCGAATCACTTCGAGTGCCCCCGTCCATATTAACCACATCTACAGCAAATAGAAAAACAGAGAGATTGCTTTACAACTGCTGCTAAACACAGGGATGCTGCTGGCATGTTAGCAAAGCTTTGTAGTGAAGTCCACAGTTTAATTGAGCGTGTAAACAGCATGTGTAAAGTACAGTGCAAGAAACAGTGACGGAGAAATAAATGCTAAATTAGCCATGTGCTTGTGTTGCTCATGCTAGGCTAATTAGCCAAAGGGAGATGCCATGGGAAGGCCTGGTTAACATGAAGACCATAATATTAAAAATGTGTTGAGGTAAGGAGCTGTAGGCAATAAAAGTAGGATTCATTACAAGAGTGGGCAAGTTATTTCACAAGTTAAGTTTTACAGAAGCTGCCTCGTGCCTCAATCACCGGATTTCTCAATGGAAGTGATTAAGGTCAGCCGAGGAGGAGCTGACTGAGCTGGCCTTGTGACATGATTCAGCGACATCTGGAAGCGGTACAACAGGGTGCAGGAACTTGCCAGCAGCTAAGTTGGTGTGACTAAATCTAGAGCAGACTGAAGCGGGCTAAACGCACCGTTGCATTTAGCAGCAGGATAAATCCAGTCTTTGATTGACAGAGTGGAGAGTGTCCAATCAGCTGGAAGCAAGAGAGAGGGATGTGATTCTGTAATCCTCTACTCAATAAAAAAAAAGAAAAGAAGAAGAAGCCCCATTAAAGCCATGGCCAAATAAATGCACCGCAGAGAACGTGCTTTTGTGTGTTTGTTTGTGCGGCTGTACATATAAGAACGCGTGGGGGTGTATATGTGGTTTGGGCCTTTACTTCATTGTGTGTGTGTGTGTGTGTGCGCGCGCGCAGGTTTTTTTAAGCACACAGAGCAGCGAGGGCCCGAGGCAAAAATGCTCTGCTTTAATTGTGTGTGATTTTGTGAAGACATTGAAGGGATTTCTTCCCTTGAACCACGGAGACGGCGAGAGAGACACACACACAACGAGTGGGATAGAGCGAGAGCGAAAGAAGGAAGGAGATAAAATACAATGTTTTGT